TGAAAAGGGTTTTGACATTTGACAAGATATTTTGACGTTTGACACGGTTTTCTTTCTTTTGACAATTTAATTTAAACAATTAGGAATCAAAGTCACCCTTTTTCGTTGTGGATTTCAAAAATGCAATAAAATACAGGTTGTCTCGTTGAAAAAACCTAACTTTGACTTGACGATTTGAAATTTAACAAGACATTTTGACATTTGACAAGAGGTTTCAACTTATGCTAAGAGGTTTTGAGTTTTTTCAAGAAGTTAAGACGTTCAGCAAGATATTTTGACGTTTGATAAAAAAATCAATTCATAATTTTGCGAAATTTAAGACATATTTGCATTTTTTTGAACACCCCATATTTTTGAAAAGATTTGAATTAATAAAAAATTATAGATTTCAGGTATAACAAACCTTTAACACAGTTATACTTTTTTCTTCACAGATTTCAAAATTGCGATAAAATACAGGATGTCCAGTTAAAAAAACTTAACTTTGATATGTACCACTTACCTGGAAAATGGAATTATTTTTAAATTGTTGAATGTATTGTATTATCAACCTATTTATTATATTTTTCACACAGTAGTATTGTATAAATATATAGAATGGTATTATAGGTTTACTTTGTCACGTTTTTTGTCTGCAGGATAAGTCAAAAACAGAAAATGATGTAAACTTAAAAATTTCAGGAAAAATCAAGCTCTATATGGGGACGAAAAACTATTGATTTTGAAATAAATCTGAATAGAAATGAGGAATTCATGGGGGTTGAATTATAAAAAAAATATATAACTCTAAAACGAAAAATGATATCAACTTGAAATTTTTGACGAAAATGAAGCTCTATAAGGGCAAGAAACTTGGATTTTGAAAAAATCTTACAAAAAATGGGGAAATTTAAGGGGGAGTTGAAAATAACAAAAAAAAATCCTAAATCAAAAACGAAAAGCGATATCAATACGAAATTTTTGGGAGATGAAGCTAATTGATTCAGATTTTTTTTTTAAAATGGTGGGGTTGGGTGAAAAAAAAAAACTCTTCAAAGAAACGTTTTTGGTTAGAGTATTACATAAACCCAAATTCCATCTCTATAAAATAAAATTAATGCAAGCACTACATGAAGACGATTTATACCGTCGTCTACAATTTTATGAATTAACGAGTCAACGACTTGTTAAAAAAAATAGATTTTTGAACAATATCTTCTTTTCCGACGAATGTTTAGTCTAGTTAACAGGCATAATTCTGTATACTGAGCAGAAAACTGACCCACACGTAATGCGAGAGTTTCATACTTGAGAGTTCAACGTCTAGTACGATATTCTAAGTAATCATATTGTTTGACAACATTTTCTTAATTCAACTTTAAATGGCGAGTCTTATCTACAATTATTTAGAAAAGCTGAAGATCCCGAAATAACCCTAATACGGGAAAATTATGATAATGTCTACGCCTATGCCGTCTAAGAACGCTTGATTTCAGGAGTTTTTGAAGTGACACTAAAATAATTAATATAATTTTAAGACACGCTTGTCAATCTTTTTACTTTCCTATCTGTATACAGATATAAGGAAAGTATAGGAATCATGATTTTTTCGACCTCGAGTTTTCGACGGATTTTTACGTTTTGAGGTCCCCTGAATCCGTTTTGACTATTTTCGCGATGATGTCTGTGTGTCTGTGTGCACCATAACTCATGAACCGATACACAGAAAAACACCAAATTTTAAACTTAAGCTTTATTCCAGCGTCCAATGAACCGATTATATTTTGGGCAGAGTCGGAACATCTGGGGGGGTACTTTATAGGTGGTCATTTTTATATTTTATGGAATATATCTGTTATTTACGTTTGGGGAAGAAAATTCTTCAAATAAAAGTTACTTCTTATATTATTAGCTATAATTTTTGTTCTATACAGAATTTTCCTAAAATGGTCCGTATTCGAGAAATTTGACAAAATGTAAAAAAATATTTTTTTATAAAAATTATTCAAATAAAAGTTGTTTGTAATATAATTCTATATAATTTTTAATCTATACATGATTTCTCTAAAATGGACCGTATTCGAGAAAATGTGTAAATTTCGAATTTTGATGAAAACTCAAAAAACTGATGAAGGAAAAAACATTAAATTTTAAACATAAGTTTCAATTCGGCCTGACGTGAAATGATTAGATTTTGGACAAAATCGGAACATCTCGGGGAGTACTTTATGGGAGGCCGTTTTTATATTTTATGGAATATATCTGTTATTTATGTTTGGAAAAGAAAATTGTTCAAATAAAAGTTACTTCTAATATTATTATCTATAATTTTTGTTCTATGTCAAGTTTTTCTGAAATGGGCCGTATTAGAGAAATTTGACAAAATGCGCAAAATTCTGATTTTTAAGAAAATTGTTTCGAGGTAGATGTATGTGGTAAATGTATATATTTAGTTTATCCTCTAATTATTTATAGAGGTGTTGCAGTTGTAGATAGTTGAAACACCTTTTTTCCAGTGTTTTTATTTTTGATAATACGCTAAATTAGTGATGACGTAATTTTGGTTGCGCTACTTTTGCAGCCATGACTAGTGACCACTGTGGCGCTTAACGTGTTTAAAAATAATAAAATCATTAAGAAAGGGATATAGAACAATTGAAGAGCCTCTGATTGAAAATATGGCGATTAAACAAAACATGGATTGATAAAATATTACTCGTTTTCGAAATACAGAATGGCAAAGTACAAAATTCAAAAATATTAATATTTGATTATTTCTTTGTATAATTTTATTAAATTCAGTAAACATTTTTGGTGTCATAAGATATACCTATCAATAAAAAAATGAGTTAAATGCGTTTTGCCAGTGGCGTGCAGTATTGATAAGTAACACCTTCATTCCTTTTAAATTTCACGACATTATCCAAAAGATTATTTGGATTATAATTTTAAATTTTTTTGATTTTTTTTTTCAAATAAATCGTGATTAAATATAAAGTGATTAGTTTTCAAGATATTCACATTTTTTTATTTTAATACATTTTTTAATTCTGAAATTTTGGATTTTTTTTTTATAAATTCTCAACAAGAGTACATGGTTTGTTTAAAAAACATTAAAAAATATATAATTGTAGTCCAAATAAGTTGTTGGACAGTGGCGTAACATTTAAAAGGAGTGAAGAAGTTACTTGTTAGACCATTTACTGAGGATCTCTGGTGGGATTTTTAGTATTATGATCAGGTTAAGGCCCCTTTTTGGGGTAGTTGATACACCTATAAATAATTATTATACATTGTAGTGTAGACACACCATTTTTCCATTGTTTCCATTTTTGATAATACGCTAAATTAGTGATGCCGTAATTTTGTTTCCACCAGTAGCGCATCCAGAGTTTAAGGAATAGTGGTAATATTTAAGATTTAATTTTTTATAATACTACGTTTTAGTAAAAAGTTAGGTTTAAAAATTCTTGGGGGGAGGGGGGGGGGTGGTGGTAATTATCCCCATTACATATATGCGCCCCTGATTTTCACTGACAGTTACATAAATAGAGGATTAAGTATTTATTAATATTTTATTTCTATTATTAAACTTAAGTTTTATTTCGGCCTGAGGTGAACTGATTAGATTTTGGACAAAGTCGAAACATCTGGGGGTTACTTTATGGGAGGCCGTTTTTATATTTTATGGAATATGTTAATTATGTTTGGAAAAGAAAATTGTTCAAATAAACGTTACTTCTAATATTATTATCTATAATTTTTGCTTTGTGCCAAATTTTTCTGAAATGGTCCGTATTCAAGAAATTTGACAAAATGTGCAAAATTTTGATTTTTAAGAAAATTGTTAAACTAAAAGTTGTTTGCGATATCGATCTCTATAATTTTTGTTTTTTATATGATTTTTCTAAAATGGACCGTAATGGAAAAATTGGTGCTAAATTTAAATTTTTCAGTATTTTCGTTTTCAATAAAAATCTATAGAAAAATGTTTCGAGTTAGAGTATGTGGAAAATGTATATATTTAGTTTATCCTCTAAACATTTATAGAGGTGCTGCAATAGGTTGTACAAAATAACCAGAAAAAGCCTATAATAACTAGATAGGAAAGTCATGTGTTGGACACATAAGATTTTTAAGATTGTATTCATTTAAAGATTTTCATCGGCATCAACTACTAAAGTTATTAGCCTCGTATTTGGTGCAGGCTTTGTTACTGTTTCTCAGTGCCACTTTAGGAACAGCACTAATAATAGTCGAGTGGGGAATCCTGCCTATGCATTAGGATAATTTTTTTTATTAATTAAAAAATCCCGTCACCAGCAGGATTCGAACCTGGGATTCTTGAATCCAAAACCACAGACTCTAACCACTGAGCCACCCATCCCCTTCATTTAAACATTAAAAATAATTTGGTTTATTTTACTATTTTTTATGATCTGCAAACAATATTTAACACGTTGAGTGCCAAGGGATGTCTACAGTTTGTCCTTGCAACTTATACATTTCTAAGTCTCATTGGTCGTTTGTGATCGATGTGATACTAATCATAAAATGCATGGCAGTCATTTATGACCTCTCCAAAATTGTTACTTGCAATAATTTCAATATGCGTTCAGATAATTCAAAATGACAGTCACTGATAATCACCATGGACTAATACGCTAGTTTAATGACCGACGTGTTAAAAAAATTAAAACGTATATCGTGGGCTTACTGCAAAAAGTGACCAAGTCAAATTTTACGTGATTTTATTTAATATAACCAAATTGTCATATTGATTCAGTTTATTTAGTATTTTCAGGCAGTATAAATATGACTTGGTAATTTTTTCTTTTGATAAATCTGACTTTAACAAGTGATTTATTATATTAACTCAAATCACATAAAATTTGACTTGGTCACTTTTCGCAGTAAACCCACGATATGTCAAATTAAATGACAGAATGTCTTATTTTTGGTCAATTTTAACTGTCACACTAAAATGACGTATACTTAAGATGTATGTTGAACCGACTTACCTAGATCAGGAATCGAGCTACTGGGCTCCTCCAGCTTAATGTCAATCACTTTGATCTTAGGCGGCGGCGGCGGGGGAGGCGGGCACATATTCCCGATCCTGTGCGACGTCCCATTCATAGTGGACTGCGTGGACGATGACACCACAGCACCACCAGCCAACCCGAACTCTTTGCTTTCGGTCTTGAACACGATCGTAGCGGTCTGCATATTGCACCGCCCCCGTAGGTGTGTGTGTGTGTATCCGAAGAGAAAAAAAATAATCAAAAATCCCTAAACGACGAGACTCGTGCGGGAACCGGGACGATTCGATGTAGAACGCGCTTTTCCCTCGAAATTCGGAATGAAAGTGAAACCGAAATGCAGTCGGGACATTAAAACCGAAAAAAGGGGTTGCGCCTGCGTAGAACCGGCGCTGAACATGCACCCGAATCCGAGGGGTGAGTTCGATGACGAGCCGAACTGAGGGGGCGAGTTTCGAAAGCGGCGGCGAGAATCGGCCGGCTCACTGTTTTAACGTTGTGTGCCGTTGAATGTTCCGCCGCGCTCCAGCTATTGGCCTTGTCCTTGAAATAGGATTCTGAACTCGGTGGAACTCACTCACACTCCGAGCTCGGGCTCTGTATGAGTCCGCTTATCGATTTTTGGGGACGGACGTCAAACAGTCAACACTCTCGACACCACTATCTATACGCATAGCGCTTCATCTTCATCTTCATGCGTAAACTTCTTCGGGATGTTTTGGTTTTTTTCACGAACTAATTGAGAATCAGTCAAGTACACTCGTTCAGTTATATACACAGATATATACGTTTGAACCAAAACAAACCCCTTATCACCATACCATTATTATCATTTTTTTATTTATATATTTATATGGAGACGTGCATTCTTGGTCGTGACGATATACGGACGATGATGCGAGGTGTATGCCGATGGATGCACTAGCTCTCTGGTCGCAACCTTGCTCTCACTTTTACTTCACTTGCACTTAGATGATCCAGTTCATTATCATGGGCGTAGCGGCTGAAGTCTCGTGTTGTTATTTTTATTGTTTTGAAAGAGAGATTGTTGCTCTTTGAATAGGCGTGCGGAGTACGGGGAATTAACGATATAAACTCCAAATTGCTGCGTTTGAAATGTACCTTATTGTGCTGTTTTTACTCGATACCGTTATTTTCATACATCAAAGCTGCGTTTGCTCCATTGATATGGTTTGCTCGATGTCACGAGACCAACAAATCTAGGAGATACATTTCAAACGTAGTCATAGTATGACTACATAATTCAGTTTCGATTTTGAATATCGCTAGGATCGTCATTTTGACCCGGAGAGTCCGGGTTTACATACTACAAATTCTTCGGATCAGTAGATTAATAAAAATTGGACGGACGCTAAATTGATAGTTTTTACGTTATTCACTTTCGTAGAACTACTATCGCGAAAAAACCACAGCGGCGGCGAGCCCAAAGGCGTAAGGGGTAGGCGACGTGGGCCACCGTCTACGGCCTCGCGGTCCTAAGGGCCTCGCATCTCGAAGGTTTATGCTATAGTCTATTTTTATGTATGAGAGAGTAATAAAACAGCATTTCTAATGCAAAACGGTCATTTTAAATATTTTTACAGAATAATTTAAATATTTCCTAAAATTGTAATAAATGTACCTGAGCTATTACAAGTTTTGGGTCTTTTATTGGTCCTTTATAAACATAAGCTGTATAGAACAATAGAAAAAGGTTTGGACAGGCCAAAAGCCCTGTGTATTAAAGATTACATAGCCGTATCTTAAGATTATTTTCAATAAGTACCTATTTGCCAATTTTGTTTTATTTTAATTCCAAGAATTTCTTACAGTAATCGAATTATAAGTAGATAAATACCTTCCAAACAAATTTCACCGAAAATGCGATTATAGGTTTTTCATTTAGTAAGGAGGTCCAAGTTGTGTATTCTTGACAGTTTACTAAATGTTGTTTAGTTGCAACTTGCAAGGTGCAGTGTGAATTCTAGTATGATCATGGAAAATTTGGAAGGGCCGCGTAAACGACAAAAAATCGGTCCTTTAACAATTAATGAAAAAACATTAATATTTAATTGTTTTAAATCATTTACAGACAAACATTTATGTAAAAGTGTTGATGACACAGTGGAATTAGTTAGTAGTACGCTTGGTGTTGGGAAATCTACGATTTACAGAGTTGTTAAAGAAGAGAAATGTGGCGAGTTTCAAACAGCACGTAAAGCTCCAGGAAAACCAAAATTTCAATTAGAAAATCTTTTGAAAGAAAGACTTCGAAGGAAAGTGCATGCGTTCTTCTTTAGAAAAGAATTTCCGACAGTAGACAAAGTTCTTGCCACGGTTTGAGATGATAAGGATTACCCTGAAATGAGTCCAAGCACACTATGGAAACTTTTAAAAGAAATAGGTTTTCTATGGAAAAAGCATTCCAGAAAGTCTATTTTAATAGAAAGAAGCGATATTGTAGTATGGAGAAGAAATTACCTAAGGACTATAAAAGAAATGAGAAACCAAAGAAGAAATATATTTTATTTAGATGAAACATGGATCAACGAAGGACATAAACCAAATAAATTTTGGCAAGATGAAACTGTTACAAGTCGAAGACAGGCTTTTTTAAATAATTTATCTACTGGCTTAAATCCACCATCAGGAAAGGGGCGCAGACTAATAATAGTACACATTGGTAGTTCAAACGGTTTTGTTAAAGGTGGTTTATTGACTTTTGAATCTACTCGTACCAGTGACTACCATGAGAACATGAATGCTGATGTCTTTAAAGAGTGATTCGAACAAATTATAGATCTTCTTCCTCAGAACTGTATAATAGTAATGGATAATGCAAGTTATCACTCGAGACTTATAGAAAAAATGCCCACAACCAAGTGGTTAAAAAAAGATTTACAGAATTGGCTAAATTCAAAGAATATTAAGTTCCATCCCGGTTCTGTGAGAAAAGAACTGTATCATTTGAGTTTCCTTCATAAAGAGAAATTCAAAAAATATGAAATTGATGAAATTGCAAAAAATCGTGGGATGACGGTGGTTAGATCACCACCATATCATTGCGAAGTAAACCCGATTGAACTGATATGGGCACAGATAAAGGGAGAAGTTTCAAGAAAAAATAATTCTTTTAAAATGAGTGATGTTAAACAGTTGTTTTTGGAGGCTGTAAATAATGTGAAGCCTGAAAACTGGGAAAAGGCAGTAAATCATACGATTAAAGAAGAAGAGAAAATGTGAAAGTTGATCGAGCCACTCATTGTAAATATTGGTTGCGACAGTTCATCTTCTGATTTCGATTCTGATTTGGATTTGTAGGTAAGAAGTAGTTTTTATATTAAAATTATTATTTATGAACGTAACGTTGTTTAAAAATCAAAGTTTAAACCCTTATACCTACATAACCCGTTTGACACAATATTCTTAACATACCTTGTGGAAAAATAAAACATTTTAGAAAAAAATTGCACTTTTTTACCTTCAGCTGTTTAGAAGTTATAAGCAGGTTAATTAGGTGAAAATGTAAGTGTATACTCGAGGAATAACTTCAAAAAATATTTTAACTGTCTACTAAAAGAAGTGCTACGCCTATGGATTACGAACGCTTTATTATTTTATTACTCTCTCATACATACGATAGTAGTATTAGGACGTTGAATTTTTTGGTTTGTGACGCATTTTCATTAATTAGGTTAAACCATGTAATGATTTTCACAAGCCTTGATTTTTAAAACCATTCTATATCGCCTTTTGATTAGGGTTTAAAAACTTATTCGAGCAATTTATCCAATAATAATTGGCCCCTTTACCTCTTAAGCCTGCTTATGTAAAATATTTGGGCTCCTTACTTCGCCAATTTATATAATATTAATAAAGGACCAAAGATACAAGAAGGCAAACTGACATTCATGTACGGCAAGCCATCACTAAAAGTTCCCAAATACAATTTTTATTAAAGGTTTAAAAAATTTAATAGACTGCTGGTTGAATATGTAATCCAAAATCATATAATAAAAATTATCTACAAAAAACCAGCATTATATCCTACCTCTCTTTTATATAATAAGAAAGTGCTTTGTATAAGAACATTATATTATTTGTCTTGCTGTACCTTTATTTATGGAAAGCCTGAATTGAGATACACTACAAATTATTTGCAATAAATATCAAAACAAGTATATATTTTTAAATAATTTGACATTTAAGAGCCATTCACACATCACAGTTGACATCTTGATACTTGGCAGGCACAGCTAAGCATTATTCTGATTTTTTCCAAATAAAATGCCCGGTTAATTATTCTATGGGGTTGCGACAGAGAGCCAATAAATTTGATGAAGGTGTTTTTGTGACTTAAATTAGCACCACCATAAAAAAGTAATTTTTAAGAAATTGCTTATATATTTTTCATAAATTGGCAGGCTTGGCTACTAATTTCGAATAAAAATAGCCTCCAAAATGGCTGTGGTTGCAAGTATGAAGGTCGCAACCCGCCTTAGAAATTTTACCTTTACTATCAACAGCTGTTGTTTGACAGGTCGTTAGAGAATGTTTGCAATTTATGGAATTTTAAGAATGTTAGAAATGTTGACGTTAGAAATAATTGGAATTCCTAAAATTGTCACATAAGAAATGCATATGCGGATTTTAAGAAAATTGATATTAAAGTAGTTAGGATGAACAGAAAATTCTGAAAATCAATAGTGTTCTAAGTTAGAAATAATTATTCAAGAAAATCAAAACCGCAAGTCAATCAGAACTTTCGTTTTAGAGTTATCGTGCCGGCATACATACACACAGACGACCAGACGAAATTTGTTTTTTTACATTTTCGGGCTCAGAATGATCGGAAATATGAAAAGTTTTAAAACATGGGAGTAAGAAATTTTTTTCGTCTTCATAAATGCCTCAGAAATTTACTGAAACCTAACAAATAAAACTTCTCTATTTTTGTATTTATTGTATTTATCGATGAGATATAACAAAGTTTTTGAATTTATCTTTGGGAGGTAAAAAAGTCTTTACCTCTCCAAAGTTTATCAATGTATTCTTGGGTTAAACGAAAGAAATATGGTCACCCTAAGCTAAAAGAAACATTTATGTTTGCTTTACTGTCTGTTATTACTTAATAATGTAAGTTAAAGTAAAAATATTTACATTTTTATAAATAAAAATTTTACAGTTAATTTTTTTTCTGTATCTAAATAAAATACGTCCTCTTGCGTCACCAGAGGGCCTCGCAAAATTTATCTTGCCCACATCAAATTTAGGTCTTGCCCCGCCACTGTCTTCTTTCACAGTTGCAGTGAACCGAAAATTAAAAATTTTATTTTATTTTTTTTTTTAAATTGTAGACATTTTTATAAATTTATGAAATCACCTACTTCTATTCTCTACTATTATCTGCTATCACTGTCCATAGATAATCTTAAAGGTTATATGAGTAAGTGTTCAAAT